TTTGGGAGGTGAACCGTCGCTACCGCACCAAGCGAGCCAGAAGGGGAGGGGTGTTTCCCCCGAGCCTGAGCCTGACTCTAGGCTGCTTTTAAGCAGTGTGCTGGCCTGCCCAAACGACATCTGGCAAACAAATATGGCTAGTTGCACCTGGCGGCCTGCATCTGGTCCTCGTCCAGGTCAACAAACACGCCCTGAGTGTCTCCGTCCGAGTAGTTTGAGGCTTCAAGCCAAGCGGAGGGGTGCGAAAATGCGAGCAGACGAGATGGTGTTATGATGCTGCGATCGATCACATCACTTTGCTTGAGGCTTGGACCGAATTATTGGCAATATATTGCAGTTTGGATATCACTACACACACATTTGACCAAACAGTTTTTTTTACACTGGAATGTTTATGCTTTTGGTACGAGATAGAGAAGACCTGTTCAGCTTACTGAATTTTGGCTGAAACTATTAAAAAACACTGTTCTCGCTGAATTGTTGTGAGAGAGAAACACTGTTCCGGCTGAAAAAAGAAGCCGAACGAGCTGGCTTCTGGATAAGCCGAACGGGGCCTATATATTCTGTTTACAGTTCAGAATTAGATTGAGAGCCTACATGCTACAGCAGAGCCAATATGCTTTTGTTTGTTAGCGCAGAGAATTAGTTGGATCTTAAGCTTCTTTATTCTGAATGTTTGGCTCTTCGATGGAATATGGTGTTTCTTTTTTTATGACATTGTCTATTTAATAGACTTGTTGCTATATTGTACCAAGTATAGAGCGTGTTTGGGATCGCGTTTTCTACGGAAGCGAGCCAACGATGGAGAGAAGCGAAGAATCCTGCCAAATGCCTCACAGCGTGCCGCTTGCTTACTATGACAAATGTTTGAGAGAGAGAACACGAGGATGAACTAAGGGTTTGATTAAAAGCAACTGGCGCTCCGAGGTTGCGGTACGACGTCGCACCGCGCGATCACCACAAGCAGTACCAAAAACAGTCATATATTCAGCGTCGCAACTAGTATGATATTCCGTAGCCCTCAAAAAAGAAATTTCTTAATTTGATTTTAATATATTTGATACTCTATTTGCTGTATGGATTCGCTTGGCCCGTCTTTGAATTTAACACAGCACGTCTAATTTAGATAAATATAAATAGGTGTGATTCCTGATTGGTCTGATTCTCTACGGTTTAGAGCTCAAAGATTCCTTATTCTCAAATTGCATAGGCAAAACAAATTCAGGGCCAATATTTTTTTAATAGATGTAGGTGCAAACGCTCAAAGCACATATATTTATTCCTATGAATATACCCGCACACCCTACTGGATAGATTCGCTTGTCTTTAGATTGAGGATAAATCCCTTGTTTGCAGGGGCAATTTCTCCAATCCTTTGTTTTTCCCATAATTGACGAATTTATCATAAGTACGTGGTTGCTCATGGACGCATTGTTACTGCAGAACACCGACGCTAAGTTGAAGCTGCCACCTTGACCTTGTGTGGTGATGAAGCCATGAAGGTATGACTCTGCACACAAATTCACATCCTTGCACCACTCAAATTACATACATGTGCTATTATTTATAGATGGGTAATAAGGACGTGCTTGTCAATGTGAGGGTATGGTGCACACATAAATAGACGTGTTCATATGCATTATTCTCGTCTCCACTAGTTGATATTTTTTCTTGCTAGAGAAAATATTGCATCCTTGACAAATTGTTCCATGACTCACCACAAGCACGGGAGTTCACCGGACGACGCTTCGCCGTTTAGGAGGTTTCACCTCTAGCTACAAGAGTAAAAAATGCTTCATGAAAGATTGGTGAAACCAGACAATTGCTCAAGGTTTAGCTTGCTCTCTTTTACTCTCTAGTAACTCGAAACCACTCAACTGAACACTTGAATCTCACACTAATCACTGACTCTCAGAGTGAAAGGGTTGGGAAGGGCTCTCACAAGGCTTAGAATATTCTCTATGATCATAAGTACACCATCAACTCCTTCAAGAGGTGTGAGATGAGTATATATATCCACCCAAAAAAATAGCCATTAGAGCTTAAAAACTAGCCATTGAATTTGCATACGCATAAAACAACATATGTCACCACACGAAAAATGCCATAACTTTTTACTCCAAACTCTGATTTCCATAATCTTAGACTTTCTGAAAAGCTTTTTCAGAGGGCTATCCATCCCAACCAAAAATAAGCCCCATGTTAAACAAAGTGCAAGTGTTGTGCCTGTAACAGAACCGACCAATTATACGAAATTAAGTAAGAAAATCATCCGCCAGAGCTGACGATTTAGCAAACTTAAGCCCGTATAACCCGGCAGTCCGTGAAATCACGAAGGATTTCAAACCAACTTCCATTCCAGCCAAGATCGTAATAAGTTTAGCGGTCACCATCACATATTACATAAAAGTTTGCATCTCAGATACATCAGAGTTTAAACATAGTTATTACAAAACAAGTTCGAATAAAAGTAGCGGAAGCCATTTGTTCAAACCACACACACTCACATGGAGTTCCAATATAGTGCCAGCGAATGATCATCTCCAACAAAAGCATTAGACGAGACGTAAGGAATGACCATGCCCATGGTCCTAAGCATCACCCATCGCAGGATAAAGGCAGTTAATACAGTAGTCGTAATACATCTGCCCATCTGCAACAAGTGAAAATAAAACCCTGAGTACGAGAAGGTACTCAGCTAGACTTACCCGACATAACCAAAAATAAGTGACACCAAGGATTATGAAGGCTTTATAGTAGGGTAGCTGACTCATTTGCAAAGAAAGCATTTTTAGCATTTCAAGACCCTTTTCAAAAGCATTATTGTCAAGTTAATTGTTATTAACCTGTCGACTAGATTTGCACCTATACTAGAGCAAACATGTGATTAAGCAGATAATGATAACCAATGATCATTAAACAACTTCCATACTGTCATATTCATTATAAATGTCCAAGTGTTCCATAAACATTTACTACAATGAAGTAACTCAAGTCAAGTGCTCGCTATCCAGGAGCGATGGCGATTCGAATCGATTCCTAACCAGCTGGTGATTTATTCCTTACACAAACCTCACTCACCCGCTAAAGTGAGATATTGATCACCGAGTCAACTATCTAGGTATCTCGAGTTTACCAGGAACCACATGTACCTAGGGGCCGACCGGCTGCACTTTGGTCTTATCATCTCGCCCCCGTGTCCTACCACACCTGCTCCGGCACAGTGCGCTGCGGGCAATCTACTCGGCCCGAATAATCTCCCAGCTTCGCGGTCGGAAGGTACTTTATCCGGCCAGCTAAATGTAAGGCATGCGTTCAACATGACTCGAGGCCCAACAATGATCGGTCCTTAATCGACATAGACGGAAAACACTACAGTCCAAAACTCTGCAAGTCTCCGTCCGGTCTCAACTTCATTTAACACTTAGTTATACCATGACTTCATAGTCATCCAAGCAGATCCAGGTAACCACCTATAGCTCATAGGTGACAGGAAAACACCCGACTTCTACCGGTCTAAGCCAGCTAAGCATTGACTCGATTGCGGATACCAGGGTAACAAGGATATAGTATAACAAAGATAACAAGGTATAATGCAGCAACGGTTGCAAACAACTCCTGAACGTAATGCATCAATTAAAGTAAAGCATTTAATTAATAATTGCAAACCGAGAGAAAATGCTCCGGGGCTTGCCTCTCTCGAAGGAGCTCGGACGGTGATCGGGGCACTCCGGAAGTTCCTCAACATCCTCCTCGTCTGCTTCGGGCATTTCCTGCGGCTGCACCTCGAGCTGCTCCTCGGGCTCCTCGGGTATGACGACTGGGTTCTCGATTTGCGATCCTGTATGATGCAATGTGCGTAAGTGCTTATGCAATCGGTGCATCGAATGAGATGAATACAATGGATATGTTTAAATGCAAGGTAGTCAACATCATCCAAGAACATATACTACGAGCACATGTCATCTACTGCATTCTCTTCTACTACTAATATGTTAAGTCAACACATCTTATTGAATGCTTCAAAGATACACCAAAGCTTCACTAATTTCTTAATCACACATAAAGCAACACTTGCTTAAACCCTAATTAATAATAGGTTTGAATAGCAACATCTATTTTTATTACTTAGAAAAATCTTAGAAAATTACCATAGCACAGTACTACCCTAAGTAGTCTACTATCAGATTTTCATGGTATTTGAATGAGTGGATTAGTCTACACAAAAATAACAAGCTATAACATGATTATAAACAGGAAAATACTTTGTACTGTGAAAAGTGTCAAACAACAGAGTTAGCATTTTTCCTATGATCTTTATAGCATACAATCACTGTACAAAAATTATCACATGCATGTTTTATACAAAGTTTGCTCTCTAGCTAAAATAACAAAAATCAGCCATTAAAGGTACTTGAACTACACCTCAAAATTTTTCTACAGTACATGCATGACACATATTTTTCCTAGAAAGTACATTACATATGAAGATTAACAAACTTGGAATCATATTTTTCTGAAGCCTATAGGTTTTTCTACATATTTTTCAAGTTATCAGCAATATCCATGATTAAATAAAGTTCTACAGAGAAGTATCATAAAAATGACATGCAATAATTTTCCCAAGTAGATCTGATGATAAAGAACCTAGAAAAATTTATTTCAACAGATTTAGAGTAAATTTGAGTATCCAAACATTTTCCAAACCATTTCTATTTTCAAATAATAAAGAAAATTTGAAAACGAATCCTCCTATTGCTACTGGGCTGGCCCGCGGGAATTAGTCGGCCCACGACCACACTTGGCCTGCGCGGCCCGAGCAAAGAGAAGGGGGAGGCGGCCCGGCAGGGCGTCGGCCCATGGCCTCATTGGCACTGGCCGAGGCGGCCACGCCGGTTGTATTGTGACACATGCATGGCATGTGTGCTCGCTTAACGAGACCGGCGGCCATTGCCGGCCGTGATAGATGAGCTAGCGGGCGATGCGGTTCGCGAGAAGTCATGGCGAAGGCGGGAAGGTAAGCTAGGCGGTGGTGGAGAAAGAGCAGAAAGGCGCCTTCCATGCGCGGCCGAGCACGGCGGGCGCCATGGCCGACGGTGGGTGGGCGCGAGAAGGCGCGCTACTGAGCTCGACAATCGGCAGACAAGCGCGAGCACCACGCGTCAAGAGCGAGGCGGAGCTACGGGCGCACGATTGCTTGGCCGAGGTGGAGGAGAAGCGGCGAATTTGGCGGGGGGCGGCGGTGGTGGCGAGAGGGGGGAGATGGGTGAGCTTCGGGTCAAGCGGAGAGGAGAGGCAACATGGAGAGTGCAAGCGAGCGCATGGCTTCAGCAGAAGAAGGCGGGCGGTATGGCGGGCGCGAAGCTGGCATGATGCTGACGCTGCTGTGCGGCGGCGACGGCAAGATGGTCGCCACGCAATGGGCGTGTTTCAGTCGTGATCGGTGTGCAAAAGGCAAATGAAGAGTGGAAAGGAACGACGCTGGGCTAGGCGGGCGAGGGCGCAGCAAGAAGGGGACGCTGGCCAGTTTGGCTTTGGCCGTGGGCCGGGAATCTGAAATGCGGACTGTTGTTAAGCGAAATGAAATTCTTTTCTTTTTATTTCTCAAATAAACAGAATTAAATTCCCATTTTTGAGCCATTTAAAAACATTTTCACGAATTGGTGCAAAAATGAAATTTGTTCCATTTTTCAATATCTACAACTTTGATTTTTTGACCAAAGCCTAATTCTTGATAGATTTTGAATTAAAAAAAATCAAAGTAAATGTTTAACTCAAAACCCTAATTTTTGGGGAATTATTTTTGAAGCAAAATTTTGAATTAATTTGAATACAAACCTTACTCCAAAAATTGAACTAAATAATCCTAGATGATTTACAATAGTAGCCAAATATGTTTTACTAGCCTAGCAAACATAATCAGGGCAAAAATAACTCTAACAAGTGTATGCAACATTCAGGTTTAATGAACATGTTTCGTATGTTTCGAAGCCGTGTTTCAGTTGTTATTTACATGATTGGGCATGTATGATTAGGATGCTTGATGATGCATGATATGCATGATTTGCAGTGCCTAAATGCTGGCATAACACCGGGGTGTTACAGTGCCATGTGTGTTCTCTCATGCTAGCACTCTAGGTTCGGTTAGTTTGGGCACTTGAGATTTTTCTAATTATTCATGTTGTCCTTCTTAATAGTACAACATACATATACTCAAGATCAAAAGGATATGTCTATTTCAACCACTTGAGTTTTCAATATCTTCATATAACATTTCTTCACATACTCTTGTCCGTAAGCTTTCTCTGAGGATAATGCAGAATTATCTACTTGAGCATTAGAAATACCAACAGTGGGCAAATGTGACCACTAGTTCCTACTTAGAATTTAACTCGTAATGTAGGATTCTCAACTTATGTGAAACATGGTAAGATAGTCATCCGGTTCCCATATCGCATATGGGTTAGGTATGATTCTCAACTAGTGCTGTGTAACTAACTTATTAATTTGAAAACTACTTGTAATGTATGACTTCGCTGATTTGTGTACCTTCATATTAAGATTGAATCTTGAGTTGTGGTGCCCATATGTGTACATTATGCAACCAGGACCGTGTGTCCTGCGCTAGTGAACTATGCCGGCGGCATCTTCAAAGATTGTCGGGTTGATTTATATAAGCTGAGTTGGTGAAGAGGATGGCACTTGATATAGGTAGATTAACTTGGTAGGTCCTCGTACATAATAATCGTTTTCCCAGCTCTACTAGTTACTCCAAAACGTCAAAAAATGATTCACACTTTTTTATAAATTCTTAATATTATCTAAATGTATAAGGTTTTCAATAATAATTGTAAGAAAAAAGTTTAAATTACTTTCTCTAAGTATTGCTTATGTCCAGACAATAGTCTAAATTAATGTTTGGTTCGGTTTACTACCCTTAACTATTTTTGTACATACAAGTTGAATTTAATTCCAAAAATTGTAAGGTGTTATAGTACATCATAAATATATTTAAAAATACATGATGAATTTTGTTTCATTACGTTTAGTAAAATTTCTGTGTTGATTTATTATTATACGTCGTAACCTATCAACACAAATATTAAAAATTATGACATATTTTTAAACATAAATTGTGGTGTTAGCTATCCCCTCATAAAAATTGAAACTAAAAATCAATTTAAATGTCGAGAAACAAAAGAGACAAATCTGGTTGAGGGTGAACCAACTGAAATAGTTGAGGGGAGTAAACTCAACGATACCATGGTTTAGGAAGTTATTATCCAGATATAGACCATACTTGATGTTAGTATATTGGACTTTTTACCTAGCTGTAATATGGCGAGGGTGTTTACATGGTTTTTTTCAGTGTGTTTTTAGCTAGCGATCAAAATAAGAAGTCAACCAGATTGGTTTTGGCTATAATCTTATTTTAAATCGTTTTGTGTCAAGTTATTTATACTTTATATTAGGTATGTTTGTTTTTTAAATACCAGATCTAAGACACTCCTCTATTTTGATTTGAGTGTCTCCTTCAATCAAAGTTTGCGGCAGCTAAACCCCAAACCTGGGACAATCCTGCCAGTCCCCGTTCCGGATCCAAAGCCGCCGGTCACCGCAGCCCGCAACAAATAGTCCAATAGGCACACCAGCCTCCTCACGTGCCGATGCCGCGGGCTGGCCGCTTGGCCCCAAGGCCCCAACACCCCGTCCATCCTGGACGTTTCAAGCGATGGGTCGCGTCCACCGTACACGCGACGACTAGCCGATCCCGCCCGTTCCTTTAAAACCATCGATCACGGAGAAGAGATCCCTTACAGTAACACGTCTCGCTGACTCGTGGCCCAGTAGTACCTAGAGGCCCCGGAAGTCAGTGGGTCAGAGTTCAGCCGTGCACGTCAACGGCGGGGCGGGGTGGCGTTCACCGTCGACGCGGCGCGTGATCTCACGTACACCATCCGTGTAAAACACGAGCGGCAGTTGGCTCACCGAATACGCCTGTCACTGACATCGTGGGCGCCAGACACTAGGCCCACCTGTCAGGGTACGTTTCGGTGACGCACTGACGCTTGTTTGGAAACCGATCTCCTCCCGCTGTCTTGCAGTGCAAGAGAGGAGGCCGCACGTACCGCTCGGATCTTCGGGCCTACAAGTACGTAACAGCCCCCTAATTTCTCCCCCTAATCACCAAACTGCCACGCCCCGCGCCGGGGCAGTTTGGGGAAAGGAGGAGCGGTGGCAGAAGGGTGATTGCTGAGCCATGCTCGAGGGCACAACGGGGAGAACGCAACAGATAAATCCTCTATTTGTACCCGGCGCTGCTTCCCATCGCCATTGCTGGCTCTTCTCTTCTTCCTCCCTCCCTCTCCCATCTCTCTGTTCTCACAATTTTGCTTCTGAAATTTCCTGCCGGTTTCTCGGCATCTTATTTCTTGTGTCTACTGAGACGTAGACCAAGGAGAAGGAGAGTAATTGGCGAGCGGTTGGAGAACGAAGACGAGACGGCTGCGGCGGCCGGCGGAGGCCATTTTTGATGCGTGGCGCCGTCGAGGTCCACGCGATTGGCAGAGACGTCGCGTCGTCGAGCACCCTGAGACTCAGAGACGCTCCGGCATTGGACATGATGAGGTAGCCGGCAGATCTCCGGGCTCTCACCTCTCCCTCTCTGTTCATTTGGTTCCTCTGTTATTATGTGGCTGTTCTCGTTGCAGATCAAAGTGCAACATGTTTTTCAACTCGTTTGCGTTTGTTTCGCCTTTTGGTTTGTCTCTGGCTTGGGTTGTTGAAGGATTTGGTTTCTTCGCCGCCTGCTTCGGTTGTTGAAGGATTTGGTTTCTTCGCCGCCGGCTTCGGTTGTTGAAGGATTTGGTTTCTTCGCCGCCGGCCGGAGCTGGCCGGCCTTGTCAAATTTCTTTCTGGCCTCTGTGCCTTTGCTTTCTTCATCCACTTGATATTTCCGCTCCCTGTCGTCATGGTATCTGGATTTCATGTTCTTGTTGCAGTTTGAGTTTGATTGATCCGTACTATGTATCTCCATGCCGGTCTCGCCAATTCCAGCGGCCGTGCTGACTCTCTTGTTGTTCGACTCCGCGTTTTTCAGGATTCTGCCCGCAACCATCTCAATGGTTTTCTGGCCGTCTCCCAAATTCTGCTGCTTTCCCGGCTGTTTCTAGATAAGAATAAGCCATCCGTTTGTTGTTTCTGATTTGCACCTTCGATCCTTTCCTGGTCAGGAGATGAGCAGTCATGTAGTTTATCACATCGCCGCCGGAGTAAAATTATTCTGGTTTCGTTTCCGGCTGCCTTCTCTTCCGAGTCCCGGAGTTCCTGATGGTTTTTGTTCTTCCTTGGTTCCGTTTCAACGAGCCCAGCTGTTCATGTTGGAATTTTGCGGTCGTTTTGTTCTCTCTTCTTAAGGGTTGGGGCTGGTGATCCATCTGTTTGATTGCTCGTTTCATAGCCGCTACCCACGGAGCGAGCGATCTGTCACTTGCATTTTGCAGCGGATCTCCTTGTTCGATGAAATCGCTAAAGAGTCGACTCGCCTCTTGATTCGTTGCAGGTACCAAAGGCTTAGCCCGGACTGCCTCCCCCTCGGCAACGGCGGCGGCGGTGGCGGAGGCGCCGTGCCCCGGAAGCAGGCGTCCAGATCCTCCATTAGAGATGACGACGCCCTGGCCGTGGCCACGGATGGCTCCCGCCTCGCCTCGTACCTCGCGGCCTCCCCGCACGAGTCCAAGCCGCTGCGCGCCCGCGCGCCGCAGCCGGCGCCTCTTTCTTCGGCGACGGCCGGCCGGAGCCCAGCGCGCGAGCACGCGCACCACCACACCTCCGACTCCTCCGACACCGCCTCCCCGAGCTCCACCGGCGGCGGCGGCGGCGCCGTCGTCGGCGACGTGCTGCTGCAGTGGGGGCACAACAAGCGGTCGCGCTGCCGGCGCGACTCGGCCACCGCCGCGCCGTCCGCGCAGCGCCGGCAGTCTGCCGTCGGCGGTGGCGGGGTCAAGATCCAGCGGCGCGCGTCGGCGCCCGCGGAGAAGCTCATGCCGCCGCCGCCGACCGCCGCCGGTTCCTACACTCGCGGGTCCAACCTGCGGTCGGCATCCTCCTTCCCGTCCCGCGCCTCTGCCTCCGCCTACGCCTACGCCGCTGCCGCCGGCAGCCACCACCCGCCCCACCACCACCACAGGTGACGACGATGCCCTCCCTCCCCTTCCCTTCGTATCCTACGCGTGCGTCGTTTCCCCATCTATTGAGGCTTTTACCATCGAATTTGACTCTGAAGGTGTCGGACTGAGGACGGGAAAAGTCAAAAATAACCTTACGTCTGAATATATAATTAATTTTTTTAAGTATTTTAACGATCTCAAATAAAAAAACTAAAAACAAGAAAATTATAGATCTGGTCGAGATCTATAATAATTATATAAAAACTATATTCATTTGAATCTGTAAAAAAATATGATTTTTCTAAGACATATTTATCATATTAAATTATATCTTTTTTTATAAAAATAATGAAGATAATTTTTATATAAAAATGATAGATATTGTCGTTCAACTTTTTAGTTTTGAGTTTTTTCATTTAAAGTCGTTAAGATACTCAAAAAAAAATTAATTGTATATTCAGATTAGAGTATTTTCGACTTTTCATACTCGTGATTTGACACCGTTACAGCCAAATCTGACGGAAGTGGCGTAAAGAAAAAAATAGTTCATAACAGTGGTACCTATAAGTTAATTTTTTAATGGCTTATGAGTAATTACTGACTTTTATAATAACACGCAGGTAAAAGCCTCCTATCTATTCCCTCTTGTTTGCCTCGGCGACTTTTTTTTTTTTTTGTTTCTGGTTTTGCCCCCGCGTAAACTACTGCTGACGAGTTGTTGGAGTCGTGGTCGCGTTCTTTGGGCGGGATGGGATTGGACGGGATCGTGCCTTGGCGTTGCTGTAGTGTTTATTTATTCTTCTCTCCTCGGGCTCGGCCGGTCTCCTTTGGTTTTGGTGAGCTGTACCGCCACATCTTTCCGCACCGTTAAGGAGAGTTGGATGGAAGGTATTCCTTCCTTTCTTTCCCTCTCATCGTATCATTTCTTCTTTTATTATATAATATAAAAATCGAAGTAGGGTTTTTATCTGAATATTTTTAGTACCGATTTGATCTGGATCAATTTCATTTTTCAGCTATTTTTGGGGTATTTTCTAGTTATAAATGTATATTTATTATGACTTTTGGGAAAGTTGTGTGTCTGGATTTTTTTTTGTGAAGAATTGTGTGTCTGGATCTGCAGTGTCGACGGTAACCTTACCTTTCTGCTAGTCCGTGGATATGTGGCGAGAAAGCAGTGACGGTATTTGTCACACATTTGCAGCGCATGTTGGGGCCATGTTATCTCATATTGACAAATCCCATGGTTGTACTTGTATTCGTCGGTTAAGAGTGATTTCGGCGTATTGTTTTGATTAAATCTGGTTGTTTTTGGGTATTGGGATGATGTCAATGGTATGAATGAATGAATGAATTGCATATTTAGGGTATCTGTTGCACTAGACTAGAGGTAGAGTAGATGGGTTATAAATATACACATCTCAACTTCCTATCCATTCTTTCTATGTAGGCACAGACAGCAGGGGCAGGAGCTCTTTGCTCATATTGCATCCACCTTTGTTGAGGGTAGGATTGGAGCCTCAAGTCTCTGGTAGGCGCGATACAACCAATCCACCACCCGACCCACCCTTTTTCCTCAACTTGCCAACCACCGCCACCACGACGCCACCACCTCCGCAAGCCGCAATCGCATCATCATTAACATTACTTCTTTCTTTTTAGGCCTGTCGAGGAGCGATCGGCGCAGAAGCGGCCGTCGCCGGACAAGGGGCACAAGTCCTCCGCCATGGACGCCGTCCTGCACATGGAATCCAAGAACTATCACCACCACCACCACGACTCGCCGTTGACCAGCAACGGCGCCGCCACCGCGGGCGTGGAGCGGTTCGAGCTGCCGCGGATCTACATCTCGCTGTCGCGAAAGGAGAAGGAGGACGATTTCCTTGCGATGAAGGGCACCAAGCTGCCCCAGCGGCCCAAGAAGAGGGCCAAGAACGTGGACAAGACCCTCCAAGTAAACCCTCTGCAACCACCTGGCCTTGAGCTCGATCTGAACCTATTCCTATCCGATCCGATCTCGCTTCTCGTCGTCACAAAACTTACATGTGCTTCCCTTGCTGCTTTTATCATGCAGTTTGTCTTCCCGGGGATGTGGTTGTCAGATTTAACGAAAGGCCGGTACGAAGTGCGGGAGAAGAAATGCGTGAAGAAGGTATAAAATCGAAAATCATTTTTCTACTACGTACTACCCTGAGCTGGCCTGCTCGACGATTTCAGTTCGTGCAGCTTATTCAGCGACGAGAATTTCTAAACCTTTTTCTTTTTTGTATGGCTGAAAGAATATAATAAGAAAAAGAAATCACGCTGAAAAAATCGCTTAGAATTGGGGCATGGGGGTGCGAACAAATGCAAAATAAAGCTGAAAAGCGGGCGGAATTGTGGTTGCCCTTTTCTTTCGAGATGGGCCCTCACGCCTCACGTGGGGCCCATGACCCGTGATGCTCCGCCGCGGCTTTATTGCTGTGGACGTGGAGGAGATGGATGTGTGCCCCTAACCTGAGGAGTTCATTTATCTGCCATGGCGTATGTGCTTTACTTTGCCAAGCAAAAACAAAACACACGCTAGTGCACAACTGCCGCACTACAAAACATCGTACCAATGGGGTTCACCGTGCCTGAAAATTTGCTTGTGAGTCACACGTACGGGGACATCTACTTATTGCGGTCTGCTCGTATGGGGTCCACCTGTCAGGTGAGTCTTTGGGATTGTCGAGCTGAGCCACTGACAAGTGGGTTCCTGGGAGACACGTACGTATATGTATCTGTCGCTGGTTAGTACCACATGATTGTGGTCCGGATAGAGCTTGTATCACATCGTTGGTTCCCCCTGTTTATTCTGATGGCAAATTGCAGCGGCCAATTTGTCAATAGCAAGGACCAGCTTGAATCTTGTAACATGGACTCTAATTGTTTATTTATTAATCTATATAATCTACAAAGGCTGTGTTTGGTTCGTGCTTGGGTTTGTTAGAATACTGTATGCATGCACATGACCTGAGCTCGGTCTTGCCTTTACCAGACGCGCGAAAAAAAAGAACTAGGTCTTTGCTTGCAACAACTACCAATTGATGTTTCTGCACTAAACATGGCTTGCACTAACTGAAATCAATCTCCTTGTATTTGGTCTGCAGAAGAGAAGAGGGCTGAAAGGGATGGAGAGCATGGACAGCGACTCGGAGTGATGGCTGGGACTGTCAAATGAGGCTGCAAAAGGGCGCAATAAGATGGAGGTGCAGCTATCATCAGCCATGGGTGGAAGAGGAAAGGATCTCACTGGTAGCTTGGCAACGGGAGTGAAGGGGAGGGAGTTGTTCAGAGTGTGAAAAAATAGGAAGATAAGATGGAGGAGACGCTGAGGGCAAGAGTAGTCGCCGCTGCTCGCTCACCTTGAGCCGCTGCCGCAGCCGCCCTGGGAAGCGTCGGAGGACGATGGTGCGTGCCACACTGGCTGTGTTTTTGGCGGTGAAATTTGTGTGGCGGTGATCGTGAGGTTTCATGCTATAAGGTGCTGTTCAGTTGCCAAAAATTTTCAAGATTTCCCGTCACATCGAATCTTTGGACTCATACATGAAGCATTAAATATAAATAAAAAATAAAACTAATTACACAGTTTAGACAAAATTCACGAGACGAATCTTTTTAGCTTAATTAGACTATGATTAGACACTAATTGTCAACTAACAAAGAAAGTGCTACAGTACCCGCGGCCGCGAGGCTATTTTGGTGGTCTGGTAGCTGCGTGTGCTGCGGTTCATCTATATATATGTATCCCACGCAGTCAATCTCTGCCTCTCTTGTCCCGTGCGCTTTACTGAGTTCGATTCCACCGGTGACGCTAAATTGAAAATGACGCCAAGTTCGAAAGGGACGTGAAAGTTCAACTACTTTGGACCTTTGGTGTACAGTGTTCCCAGTAGCTCAGTAATAACACCGGTGAACTTGACATGGTGGATGCCGACCCTGCGTTGAACTTGAACGAACCTAATGGCACCGGCAAGTCTTCCATTCCATCCAAGGCAACGACGGCAGCGATGGGGAGTCGGATGGTGGAAAGCCAAATTGCTGCGCCGCCTGTCGCTCTCTCGCCGTCACGGGCGCTATCATTGGAGCAATTGGGCGGGAGACGGGGTACAGCCGAGCCTGTTTCTTTCGTTTCATGTTTCATCCGATCCTTTGATCCTTTCGAGAAAACTGCTACTCCTACCAGCAGTAAGATGGTCCGGCTCCGGCCGGCAGCGACTACTCACCAGCTGCTCCCTGGTTCAGCAGTCTGGACGAGAGCCCGATCGAGCCTCAGCCGTCGAGAGACCTGAGACCGCCTCCTGCGTTAAGCAGGCGCGCAAGACGCGACGTGGGCCGGAGAGAGGTGTCGGTGCGCAGGCGCAGCGCATGTGCGTCAGACGAAGAGGCTCGTGCGCGGAATCCAAGGCTCCGGACGGAACCAGAGCGTTGCGCAGCGTTTCGTTTGTCGGTGGACCGAGAAGGAACAGGAGACATGAGTCAGGCGGTTGTTCCGGGCACGCACCTGCAGCTGCAAGACTTGTAGTTGTACCGGAAACGTCGGCCGGCGCTCTCCGATCCGTCGTCCTTAGAAGCAAGCATCCGTGTCCGAGACTCCTCGGCGTCTCGCCCGCAAGTCCCAAGTCGCTTTGCGTGAAACGGCTTGGCGAACCTGCAGTGCACACGCGAGAGCGAGCGCTCGCCCTCTCACGCAAACGCAACGACATGCATGCGCCTGGCTAGTTGTGCCTTGTTCCGCTTCGTCGTGTCGTGCGCAACACCAGATCCGCCTCCCACACCCCCGATCACTCTCGTCCGGAGCTCCTTGCCCTGCTTCTCTTTTGACTATTGTCGGTTTTTCAAGGCCCAACATTAACTGGAGTAGCTTCAGTAATCCTCGTCTTTAGCTCTTCCTTTGTGAAATGGAATGACCAGGGGCATCATATCAGCCTTTCGACGTCATGCTCGTGGCTATTGGAATTCCCCACTGACGGTCGAAATGGCTGTGCATTCGCATGCGCCTTCCTCTTTCCTTCTACTAGCTCTGAAACGGAGGAGCAACAGCAAGTAGAGGCATCCTTGTGCGATTCATCAGACTTCAGTAGCAGTAGCCAACTAGCCATCCGTCAGTGCCGCCAGGGGCGAAGCCCAGTTGTTTTTTTTCTCCAATACGCACGAACACTGCTTATCATTGGCCCTGTTCGTTTAGCTGAAAAGCCATGGCTGAAAGTACTGTTCGCTGATTTGTTGTGAGAGAAAAACACAGTTCGTTCGTTGAAATAGTACGGCTCATAAGACAAACGATCAGGGCCATTGTATTTAAGGAGAATGAACAGTTATCATATAAGGATGTCGGTCTCCAGCCGCGTTAGTGAATGTAAACGACTACATTTTGAAGTTAACTATCCGATGACATAACATCCTACCAGTTGCGACCGCATTGGTCTCGTGGCGAACTGTTAGTTTGATCTCCACCAATTGGCCCAACGGTCAATTAGGCCCTTGGATCAACGTCCTGATCGGGGGCGTCCAACCACTCTATGGTTGGTGGGTCACCGTCGCACAGCATCATAAAAGAGAGGTGGGGCCGGGGCACATGGTACGAGGTTCCCCTGAGCCGCCGCAACCCTCCGACAAAGAAACCCTAACGCTAACCGATCAAGAAAGACTGTGCTGCCAGCGACGAGAAGCTGCCACCGACTTCATCGTCGCTCCTGCATCGCCACTGGACCGCGCCTCCATTGCATGGCGTTCGACTACGACGCCGCGCCACCGACGACCACATCACTGCGGCGCTATGGCCGCAACTGCCTTAGGGCGAGGTACATAACCAAGCTTCTCCATCTAAGTCTAATTATCCCCTGATCTACGTTTTAGAGGTACTGTGATGCTATCAATGGTACCAGAGCGAGGTTCTAGTGTAGATCTAAATTAGGGAGAGAAGCAATTAGAAGGAGAGGATTTTCGATTTCGAGTGAAAAAACGGCGTCCGCCGGATCTACCGACTACCGCCGGCGGCGCCAAGCCGCAAGACCGAGATGACGGCCGCCGGATCTAAGGATTGACGTCTGCCGGTAGAAAAGAGAAACCCTAAGAAGGGAAAGAACCTGAGAGGAAAGGAAGGAGCTCACCGGATCCATCTGGGAAGAAGAAGCAGGACCCGTGGTAGATGCCCTAGGCGTCGCCGTTGGTCCTCTAGCCAGCGTGCGCGCCCGCCCTAAAGGATCGAACCCTAACCAAACCCTAACCCTAACCCTAGACCAGACCCACTATGGGAGAGAGTAGAAGAAAGGACGGAGAGGGGAGGTACCTACCCGGGTCCTCTCGCCGCCGTCGCCACCGCCGTCGTGCGGGAAGAAGACCCCGCCTCTGTGCGGGTCCCTTGAGCCTCCGGCTCACCGGCGTTCTGCCGCGCGGCGTGGGCGCGCTCAGGGCACCACCGCAAGGCCGCTCGACGGCGGCGCGCTCACCCTTGGGTGAACTCGCGCGTCGACGAGGGGGCCTACGGCGGTGCCGCCATCTTTCGGCCGCCACGGGGGCTCTTTCTGCCTTGCTCGCTCGCTCGCTCGCTCGAGAGAGAGAAGGAAGGGCGAAGAATGGTTTAGGGTTTCCGGGGGAGTCAGCCGTCGCCGGTTTTGTTCGAGCGAAATGCGCGTGTGGCCGTCGGATCAAGATGGACGACGGAGAGTAGCCGGGCCGGATTTAGGCCTAGGCGGGGCGTGGTTCCAGCCCAGCCCAAAGTTGCGGCTCTGGCGCGCGGAGATGGGCGGGTGAAGCAAGTCGTTGTTGGTAGCGTTTTTTTTGCTATTTGGGCCATAAGTCTGTGTATACAAGAGAGACAGAGTCATGGGCGAATTTTTCTCGGTTGGGCCAAAATGAACAGAGTAAATAGTTTTTAGTTTTATTAATTTTCAGAAGCAAATTTCGATGAATTTTGTCAAGTTTTGAATCTCTGTCAAAATTTGAATCAACGGGATAATTTTTTCAGAGAGTAGATGAGTAAAGTAAAATGCTTCTGAAAAGTAGATAAAGAATTTTTCATGTTTCCGCTGTAAAGTTTAATGTTTATTATCTTCCAATTAAATTTGAACTAACAGGAAAATTTAATTTGAAGAGCAGTTATATTTAGTAAATTATGATTATGTTGATCCTCTAATTAAATTGGAACCAACGATAAAATTTAATTAGAGGAGTAGTCCGTTTTATTTAAGTAAGATTATGGTATTATCATTTTCTAACCAACGTTGATGATGACAATATGATAACGAATTTAAGTTTAAAGTTTAAATCTCTGGATTTTTTTACACCAACGTGCTGAATTTTTCAGAGAGTAGATAAGGACCAAGAAATGCTCCTGAACTAATATAATGTATCTTATCAACATGTTTCTGCTGCAATAAAGTTGATTAACTTCTAATTAAATTCTAACCAACAGGTGAATTTAATTTTGAAGAGTAGTTATATAGATTTCAAGTTAATTTCTGAGTTTTATGCATTAATTCTATTATCTGCCCAACAGTGATGTAGAATTGATGCAGAAGCACCTTGTTTATTTAACAGACGAGATGACTCGGCTGCATGCCAACAAGCTGCAATGCTAGGGTATGTGAATGAAAAGGCTTGAGTCAAGCCAGTTCATGATAGTTTTTTATTAGTTTATTAATTTTCTGATTAAATTGGAACCAATGGGAAGATTTAATTGAAAAATAAAGTATAAGTGAATGTTTTAGTCGTCATGACTAAGTTTTCGTAAAGATATATCATGCGTGGGGAGAAGTTTTGGTATAGTAATTATGCTAGTCCATTCTGCATGGCGGGTGAAGTTTTGTGATGAATTATATGTTTTTTATCCCGCATAGCGAGAGAAGTTTGGGTAGCTCTTATGCTATCCTAGTATGACCATGTCACAATAGAAATGTATAGTCATGGTCAATACTAACCAAAAGGATAAGAAAAAGATGTAAGCGCGACTTGCAAAAGTACTGCTAATGAAAGATCTCATTGAGTTCTTAAAGTGAATTAAGGAAAGTGTACTCCTAAACGGATGAAGAAATAACTTTGTTTACATAACACAATCATGTGAATGAAGTAAGTTATAAGTGTCTCCTCGTTTATAGGCTTTCTGAATAGTTATCGAAATTATGGCAGTAAAGTTCATGCCATATTTCGAGGGGGAGAAAAA